TGCACTGTGGAGAAGGCTTCAGCTGAAACTCCGACAGCACCAGGACTTCTGAAGCTGTGAGATTATGGCTCCAGCAGAACAGAACTTGTTCAGAAACATCAGCAGGCAGGTGTTAGTTAGGTGAAGACTTGTGGACACAGACATCATTTTGGGGAGGACCGGAGGTGCTTCTCAGTCAAGGGCACGGACTCACGAATAAAGAATGGTACCTAAACATCCCCCCAGAGAAACTCCTCCAACCATCCAACCACAGTTTGGTGATGAACAATGTCTTCTCCTGCATGATGGAGCACCGGGCCAGAAGGTCAGAACTGAGGGGATTTGGGCCCAAACATCAGCATGCTGTGTCCAGGTCCAGGTAACTCCTCAGACCGAGAACTCGATCCTCAAAAGACAGCTGGACAAATACAGGGAGTGCAGAATTATTAGACAAGTTGTATTTTTGAGGAATAATTTTATTATTGAACAACAACCATGTTCTCACTGAACCCAAACAACTCATTAATATCAAAGCTGAATGTTTTTGGAAGTAGTTTCTAGTTTGTTTGTAGTTTTAGCTATTTTAGGGAGGTATCTGTGTGTGCAGGTGACTATTACTGTGCATAATTATTAGGCAACTTAGCAAAAAACAAATATATACCCATTTCAATTATTTATTTTTTACCAGTGAAACCAATATAACATCTTCACATTCCCAAATATACATTTCTGACATTCAAAAACAATACAAAAACAAATCAGCGACCAATATAGCCACCTTTCTTTGCAAGGACACTCAAAAGCCTGCCATCCATGGATTCTGTCAGTGTTTTGATCTGTTCACCATCAACATTGTGTGCAGCAGCAACCACAGCCTCCCAGACACGGTTCAGAGAGGTGTACCGTTTTCCCTCCTTGTAAATCTCACATGTGATGATGGACCACTCTCATTTCATCAGTCCATAAAACCTTAGAAAAATCAGTCTTGAGATATTTCTTGGCCCAGTCTTGACATTTCAGCTTGTGTGTCTTGTTAAGTGGTGGTCGTCTTTCAGCCTTTCTTACCTTGGCCATGTCTCTGAGTATTGCACACCTTGTGCTTTTGGGCACTCCAGTGATGTTGCAGCTCTGAAATATGGCCAAACTGGTGGCAAGTGGCATCTTGGCAGCTGCACGCTTGACTTTTCTCAGTTCATGGGCAGTTATTTTGCGCCTTGGTTTCTCCACACGCTTCTTGCGACCCTGTTGACTATTTTGAATGAAACACTTGATTGTTTGATGATCAAGCTTCAGAAGCTTTGCAATTTTAAGACCGCTGCATCCCTCTGCAAGATATCTCACTATTTTTGACTTTTCTGAGCCTGTCAAGTCCTTCTTTTGACCCTTTTTGCCAAAGGAAAGGAAGTAGCCTAATAATTATGCACACCTGATATAGGGTGTTGATGTCATTAGACCACACCCTTTCTCATTACAGAGATGCACATCACCTAATATGCTTAATTGGTAGTAGGCTTTCGAGCCTATACAGCTTGGAGTAAGACAACATGCATGAAGAGGATGATGTGGACAAAATACTCATTTGCCTAATAATTCTGCACTCCCTGTATAAAAATCCTCTGAAGCAGCATATCTTATAGGAACCAACACTAGAGTCAATTCAGTTCAGTATATATATAAAATGCCAATTCACATCTGAAGTTATCCAGTTATCCAGTCCACTTGAACCTACTCAAACGAGTTCAGTCCATTTTTCCAATTAGTTAAAAGTTTCCAATGAAGGAAAACCCAGCAGATTGCATCGAGTCACTTGTGATGCTTGTCCTAACCTGAAGAACACTTAATATTTAACAACATCTAAAAAGTTAATAAAGGGTCCCTTTGTTTATTAATGCTTAATAATGCATTAACAACGGATCCCTCATGGTAAAGTGTTACCCATATCACTGTAAATTCTACATGAATATATTTAGGACACTGATGACCTTGGGAAAAGTAAGTAAACAAACTTGACAAACATAATTGTGGAAAGTATTGTGACTTTATTATATGTGAGTGTGCTGTACTTATTCTGAAGTTGAAACTACTTAAAAATCTCAGTTTAGTTCAATTCAAGGCAAGTTGTTACAACTTAAATACTTTGAGTCACAAACGCTTTCCTGCCCAGAAAGGTGGGTGTAACCTGAAACTGTGTATACTTTAAGCAACAATGAAAACACCCATTTCCATATCTCAGATTGTTTACTTTATTTCCAGTTGAACTGAATTGTGGAATTTGACTGACACTGAAAGATGCAGCTAACTGGTACCATGTGACTTCAGTCAGCGAGTGTTTAATTCATGCTTACTCAGACCAGAGCCTTTTGTGTGAGCCACCACTTTATCAACGGCACAGTGGTCCCATTCCATCGACCTCCCTCCTCACTTACGGAGCTTACACGTTAGCATCGGCATGGGCCTATACGGTACCAAACGGCACCGGAATTTGGTTTCACACGTATGTCCGATTTGCGTTTTCGGTGCCGAGGGAACTATTTTTCTCAGACCTTCTCCCCAGCGGTCAGACTGGAACCGAGGCAACACTACGGACTGATTGGCTGGCTGAAATTTTGCCTACTGCCTCAGATCTGTGAGGAGAATGAGCCAGCGGGGGCGTTCCTGCATGCGCGATTCATTTTCATGCTGGATGCTGTTGAGTAAACTTATGTCTGTAGCACGGAGCTGCCGATCCAGAGCTGCTGATCAGTGTGGGAACGGGAGAAGAGAATGGTTTTGTGTGTGTGTGTGCCACAAGATTACGAGGACACACACACACAGCAAATTAATGAAATAATGTGGTTCAGTCTCCAAAAGTAACAAGGCTCATGTCCGCCTTTGTTTACCTTATGGAGCGGACTTTCCTGCGCGTATTAAACGCCGCCCATGGGCTCTGGGATTTCCGCATTCTTGAGAAGTCCCCTGAATTTATATGTGAACTCTACACCGCCCATACCAGCCCAAACTCACGCCATCCAGCCCGACCATACCCCGACCGTGCCGACGCTAATGTGTAAGCGCTGTTACGGTGCCAACAAGACATAACAGATAACTCCACCTTTGCGACAATAACTAATAACCCCCCCCCCCCCCCCACACACACACACACACACACACACACACACACACACACACTGGGCGGGGTCATTTTTTAATCCATAAACTGTTTTTTTTAAGTTGACTAAACTTTGGTCATTGGCCTAAGGCTTCAAACATGGGGTGGAAAACTTCCTTGTTAGAGCTTCAGTGCAGCGGAGTTCTTCCTCGCTGTTCAGTGCGTCTCTGTTCTGTCTAAAGAGTCAGAGCTCCTCAATAACACTTGGTTGAAACTGGTAAGAACCAGGTTGTTGGTGGTTGCAACCAGGCAAACTTGATTATTTTAAGTAGTTTGAGCTCGTACATGTGTACAATAAGCTAGGCCATACAGTTTACTCAAATTTATAGCTGGTATTAAAAAAGACACGTGTTTAAGTAATATGAATTGCTGATAGGACTTAAAAACACAATTACAATAAGAAAGTAGACGAAACAGCTCAACTAACTCAGGATTAACAAGCAATGTTAACAATTTAGAAACACTTAATTAATGTGAACAAGATCATTTGAGTTGAATCAAAATCTGGGTTTACGGTAATGACTCAGTTACATGTGACTGATGCTGAAGAACCCTGCCAGCTTCACACATTCATACAGTAAAGACACATTAACGTGTGATTCTCTTGAACAGCCATGAGCAGGTCCTGTCAGAGGATGAAAGCAGACTTCATTTGGGGATAGGACTGCTTATGAAAAACAACTTTCCATGATGCAGCAGGGTAATAACTGCTCTTTTGTGTTAACAGTAGTCATCCAGCTGCTTTCTAACATCGTGTCATTATGCTGTAAAAACACACAGATCTGGGATCAGTTAGATGGAATCTATCACACACATGGAGAGGCTGAAGGAATGTTTGTGATCTGGAGTTGTAGTCAGGAGCTGTTTCTGCTCCAGCTTGTTCATGGCAGTCTGCACATGACACATGTTTATGGAATTTGATTAATGAAAGGCTGAGTTGGCAGCTCAATCTTGACAGAAAAATTACAACTTTGCTCAAAAGGAAGGGTCTATCAAACAGGAGGCCCCTCCTAAATGAACACAGCCTCCCTGCCTAAGAGAAGCTTCACTGGACACACAGGTAGGAAGCAGGAACGCTGGTTACATGTTGTTACCAGGTTCTATGAGTGTGACATAGCCCTTTAAGCCACGCCTGTTGGGTTGTTCCCAACAACCGGACCCATCGACTGAAGAGCTTTTAACGTACGCCCCTCTATCAGGTGGGCCCTGGTCCTATAAAAGAGTTTGGAGACCATAGGTCATCTCCAAAGGCTCGATGAGCCCCCAGAACAGTAAGGCCAGGGGCTTAAAGGGCTACGGCATATTCATAAAATCTGGGGTTACAATACATAACTGCGTAACGTCTTTTTCATGCCCGTCCTGCTTAAAGTGTTTCATAATTTAAATTGAAGTGAACATCCTGAGCGGCGCAGGAGAGTGACATCAGTGTCCGCCTCACTCTTCTGACTCACCACACTATGCATTTAGTACACTAGGGGGCGGCGTATACACAGAGACACAAAGGAAATGCAGCCACGATCTTGGACCGGTTCCTCTGGACTGTGGTGGAAGCGCCTGGCCTGCCAGACTGGTCCTGTTTAATTCTACACAGAGAACTAGTCTGGTTACTCTCAGGCAAATGAATGAATCAGAGCAAACGTGGCTGAAGTGACCCAGGTCCAGTTCTAAAAGCTGATGACAGCTTCAGTGGTATGTGTGACAGGCCGTGATGCTTAGAGTGAGTCTCTGAGCCCTGTTGGCTTGGTTTTCCCTCAGGTCCCCAGACTTTGTCCACCTGCCCTACCTGATCCCTCTCTGCAATCCTTATCCCACATTTTAAAAGTGCTCTGGGTTTTTCAGTCATGGTCAGAACATCAGTCACAAACAAAGCCACTAAAGCCACATGAGTCTGTTTATTTTGTACAGCAGAAAAGTCAACTTCCGTTAGAAACACTGGACTTGTCACAAAAACGCTGGAATGTAGAAGTCGGTCTCTGGATCTTCACGATCCATCTGAGTAGGTGGAGGCTGCAGCCTCCTGTGGGCAGGCGGTACAGTCACACCTGCAAGGCTACGGCTTTTATTCTCCTCGATACATAACAATGTTTTTATCCGTCTCGTGAATCCGGATCTCATACAGCTTGTTGGCAGGAAGCATCTTCACCATGTTGTCCCAGATGTAAACAGCCAGGTTTTCTGTAGTACTACAAAACACAAACACAAGGCCAGAGATGTGTGTGAACGTGGCGTGTGTGTGGGTGGAGTTCGGGCTGCTACTCACCTGATTACATCAGCAAAGTAAGGGACGTCCTTATCCAGGTTCTTATGGTCCAGTGGAATCATGATGACTTCCTGTTGAGAGGGAAGTGAAGTGAGGTTGGTTTTGTTAAGCCTGATTATTACTTCTCCATCAGCGTCGGTACGGAGACACGCAACGCCATTATGCGTCAGCACAAGGGCTCTCCGATGAGCCCACAGAGGCCGACAGAGACAGGTCTGACTTTTTAACCATTCATTGAAGATGACCACAAGCTTGTGATTGGTCAGGACGCCGCTTCCTGTACTTCCTCAACAGCACCGCCATTGCCCTCAGAAGATAAAGAGAGCCGAACATATCTATCAGCAGACAGAGCAGATCAAAGAAAACCAGGAGAGAAAAGTTGGAAAGAGGGACACATTTGTCTGTGTGAAAAAGTCTCTGAAATACATAAACACAACATAAAGAAAATAATAATAAATACGCAGTCGTGGCCTGAATAAGTTGTCCTAGCGAGGGGTTGCCATTGCCAAATACACTCCCCAGGTGACGGAGAAGTCTGAAGGGAAAACATCTCCGTCAACGCGTGTGCACAACTCCACACCCAAGCTGGCGGAGAAGTATAAATCAGGTTTCAGTCGTGCTCCAAGAGAAGAGGAAAACTTCTGTCTAGTGCATCCTAAACTCCAGGTCATGCTGAAAGCTTAAACCCTGCTGTTTATTTTGCATCACATGGTTTATTTACACGGGATTACGAGCCACACGACAACAGTAAATAACCAACGGTCAAATTTGCTAACATTTGAGCCAAAATGGTAAATGGCCTGTATTTGAAATAGCGCCTTTTTTGGGTTCTACAACCCCCCCAAGGCACTTTACATCACAGTCATCCACACACATTCACACGCTGGTGGTGAAAGTAACAGTGGTATGTATGAAAAACAGAAACTTTCTGTAAAAGTTTTGTGTCAAAGTAGAATTTTTCCAGTTCAGCAGCTCTGACGGGCTCATTTTCTGTTTGTAACGGTTGATCAGGCCACTAAAGGGCGATGCTACTTAGCACCTGGAGTCCCAATAGAAGAAGAATGATTGTTGTGAATGGAAATGGACTCCAGCTGGATCTTCTCTATTTAAGCAGCAATTGTTTTTAACTTAATCCAGCTCTTTGTCGGCAGCCCTAAAAAGGCCCAGCATAGCAAGAGTGCCATCTACTGACATGTAGGAAGACCCAGTTCCTTTAAAAATGACTAAATCTTTACAGGAAGCTGATGTCTATCCCTCTGAAAGCTATTTTTTTTCACCATAAGTTAAAGCTAACAAAGACCTTATGACAGATGAACATAATAAAAATCTTCACATTCCTTTCAGAGCTTCTGTAATTATCCTGCTGTAGTTAGGTCCGACCTTTTTCTAACTCTAATAACAAAAACAACTTAGACACGGCGTCAACAAGCCTGGACAGGGCGATGAGCACATGATAGACGGGAGACGGGCCACAGCAGCTGGTTGCATATTTACATATTCATGAAATTCCATGTTAAACAGTAAAGTCAATTTTATGATCACCTGATCACCTGTGCTCATTAGCACAATTAGCCAATCAAACGTGAGTCACCAGCTGCAACCATTTATGACCACATGAACTCATCTTCTGATGGCTACTTCCAGCAGGACAATGCACCATGTCACAAAGCTCAGATCATCAGCTTCACAAATCTCAGCTACCTGAACAACTGTCGTCCAATCTCCACACCGGCGAAGGCCTAAGGGGCGAGGAAGACATTTTTAGCTGAGACTTATCTGCTATTGTGACTAGCTCAGCATCATCGTACCAGCCCAGTGTGGGTGGGTTCAGAAAGAAAAATGCTAAATACATAGCAAGGTTGGATTAAAAAATAAATAAATCAAAGATAATCAGTGATGCAACTGATACAGGTAACTGTGGTATTTTCTTTGACTTATTTGAAGCATTTGATACCATTCATCTTTAAACACCATGGTATCAGAGGTCTAGCAGTAGACTGGTTTGGGAGTTCACATCATGGATGAAGCTGTGTGATGTCATGCCAATATGGACAAGGACCTCTGAGGAATGTTTACGGAAGACGAGAGGAGACAGGACGTTCTCGGTAGTGGGTCCAAAACTATGGAACACACTTCCCGTATCTGTTATGGGCCATTCCCATCTGTACCTGGTGGGCCCGGCCCGGATAGCATAGCTTGCTTACATATCTTGGTGGCTTTCCTTTTTTCAGGGTGCAACAAGACTGTTTTTCAGCCCTCTTTCTGAGGTGATCTGCTTCAGGCTGATCAGGGCCACTGGAGCTATCCGGGCCGGGCCGACCAGGTACAGATGGGAATGGCCCTTAAGGCTCATCAGTGGTTTTTGAATCAGGGTTCAAGACCTACTTTTATAATCAGGCTTTTAACTCTGTGGGTTAGCTGTTGCTATTATTTAAAATAAGAATTCTTTGTAACTGTTATTTTTAATTTTCTCTGTTTTTATAGGGAGCCGAGTCTACCTCCCGTCCCATCGGCTCATGGGTCCCAGAACAAAGGGTTAAAAAGCTCGTTTCTAATCCACTTTGCCTTACGACATGAATCACTCGTTTATTCACACGAAACCTAAAATGACTTTTGCCCTGTATTAGTGCTTTCTTGGCATCAAAACATGTCAAACATGCAATTTGCTGGGTTCCTTATATAGGAAGCATTATTTCTGATTGACTTAATGAACTGACCTGTATTGGAATGTTTATTATGTGAAGTGCCTTGAGACGACTCTTGTCGTGATTTGGCGCTATATAAATAAACTTGAATTGAATTGAATGTCTTTAATTAGCGGACATCAGATAAGAATGGGCTGCATGGTGGCGCAGTGGTTAGCACTGTTGCCTCGCAGCACGAAGGTTGCAGGTTCGAAACTGGGCTGCGGCCTTTCTGCGTGGAGTTGCGTGTTCTCCCCATGCATGTGTGGGTGTCCTCCGGGTACTCCGGTTTCCCCCACAGATTACAACATGCCCTATAGGTTATAAATTGTAAGATGCTTAGGATAAAAGCGTCTGCTAAATAAATAAACATAAACATAAGAAATCCATGGCAAATGTCAAACGGGAGTGGAACATAGCTTTTATGGTCCCATTCATTACTTCTTATTTTCACCATGGTCCAGCAGTAGGTGGGGGTGACTTAGGCTCCATATTCTAGTCTTGTACAGCATTTTGGTGACATGACTCATGTTTACAAGGCGCTCTGTAAATAAAGGCTGACAACATCATGAGTCTATGACATCAAGATCTTAAGCTTGGTTTATGCTTGACACATTCACTTTCCGCTTGGTGATGCGGCTCGCGGATGGAACGCGCTTCACAACTCGCAGCGTTTATGGTTCATGCGGCTCGTCTCTGCGGTGAGCCAATATTCTCCCAAACTGTAGGGGGCAGCATGGAGCTCTACGGCATGCATCCAACACTACACCATAGTAGAAGTAAAAACTACTGTTGTTTACAACATGGCATTCCAGCATTTTTTAACAGCGTCCTCGTCTTTTCCGACAGTGCGAGCTATTTCTCTCCAAGAATTATTAACAACATGTTGATCACGGTGATCTCTGAGAGTTGAATCATACAAATGTCTGTATTTACGAACCTCCGCCATACTAGTTCTGGCCAGTCCGCCATGTTTTTCCATGTCCGCGTGGTTAGAAAATTTCCTAGGTGCGGAAAGTTTGGGCCTTGCGGAGGCGCGGTTGTTAAAATGACGCAACTTTTCCGCGCGGAGCTGTGCGAACCTCAAGGACGCGTCAAGCATAAACCAACCTTTAGGCAGAACTTGTTCTGAAGGCAAAGGGGGCCCCAACCTGGTAAAGTGTTCCTATTATGTTTACGTTTATGTATTTAGCAGACACTTTTGTCCAAGGTGACTTAAAGTGGCCTGTGAGTGTTACTGCATTAATAAACATGAATGGCCTGTTTAAACATAGTCTGTCTGATTAAACAGTGTTAAGAAGGAAGACCTGCAGAAATGTCTTACCTCAATGCATCTTTTCAGCTCAGTCAGATTCATGACCATGCCAGTGATGGGGTCAATCTGAGGGCACAGGGTTAAAATGGGATGGAGATTATGTACCATCATTAACAGGGCTAGTCTGCATCCTACACAGTTGTCATAGAGAATTATGTCAAACTCACCTTTCCACGAACTGTTACCTCCACTGTGGAGTAAAATCATGTATCTGGATGAATAGAACACCCATAAAATGGTAGAACATGGATTAATGAAGAAGCAGAACAAACCTTTGTAGTTGTGTCCGTGACCGTTGGGATTGTTGCACTTTCCGTACACTTGTTTATTCTCCTCATCACTCAGGTGGACACTACAGAGGAGAATACAACCTTTTATCCTTGTATCTGTATCTGGGCAATGTGCTCCTGTTAGTCAAGCAAGAAAAACCTCACAAGACACTGTTTACTTGTGTTGCCTTCAGGTACATCTTGTATACAACAGCTTTTAGGTCATTTATCTGAATAAACAAGTATTTTATTTACATTGTGACTCTAGCTCTAAATGAAGTTGTTATTATTATTATAAACCAAAAATATCAAACTAGGACTGTGTGAGTAAACAAAAGTTAAACGTCTTTACATAATGACCCTAACAAGTGAAACTACCGCGGATTAAACAGCACGGTATCATTAGTTATTGTGCATTTCCTGTGTCGTTACTTCTCAGTTGTCAGACCTCATGGGAAATCAGACAGCACGTGAATGCAACATTAGTCCGCACGCGCGTGAAGCCTTTAGCGAAATACTACAATTCCCAGAAGGTTTAGAACTACAACTTTGGTTTTTATAAACTGTACGGCAGTGGTTTGTCTAGTTTTTAGGGTTTTTGTTACGTTCGTCAGGATATAACGTAATCGCAGCGCGGTGTTTCCATGATTTTAGATAGCTAACGGGCACGAGCCCACCTATCGGAGCCAGCCCCGGCAGCGGGGGGACTTTGAGCTTAATTCGGCTCGAGCCTCAGACAGGCCCGGTTCCTGAAGGATGGGTGAAGGAGAGGGCTACCTGTGGAGCCGGTGGCAGGCGCTGAAGCTCTGCTCCCGGGTGAGGTAACCGATGCGCTCCGCTGGAAATCCGGCCATGATCGGAGCGCTGATGCTGAGGAGAAAGGGGTTGACGCGAGCGGTGTGCTGATATAAAGCCCATGTGACCCGGGCTCATTGGCTCAGATTAGGGCGTAAATAAAGCTCACATGTCCCCGTTTAAAGCCTGGGGGGCTGGCTCCTGACACGCTCTCTGTTCTCGCACCGGTCTTCCTCAAACCAAAATCCAACACATTAAAACGTTCATTTTTGTTCTATAAAACTAGCCTATGATTAACTTTTGCTTTGCTACTTTATCCTCATGAGGTATCAGTCTGTTATAATCAGGTTGTAAAAAAATACTACCTATGTTGGAGATACCTCCATGAACAGCCTTAGCACAGAGAAATAGCTTTTACATCCTATAAGTCCAAAGAGCTAATGATTAGGCAAAGCACAGTGTAGCGTACCAATGGTCGAGTTTTTCATCCAAATGAACAGAAATTAACATTTAATTTTCAGCAACAAACTGTGTCACACATCCAGGGACGCATTACATCTGTATGGCCTCCAAGAAAGAAAAACAGGTATAGCCGACGTGCAACCAATCAAAGATGCCATAATATCTTTGCTTAAGGCCTCATGCAGAGAGTGTTGTTTCCACTAGGACTGATCTCACGTAGCATTACAACATGACACATTGCTTTTACTGATCCAATCAGAATCTGCCAGATCTGATGGAGGCGTTTTTTGGGTGGTGGTTGGCAGGGGCGGATTTAGGACTGAAGAAGATCCGGGGCTTAACACACACGCGCACACACGCGCGCGCACGCGCACACGCATGCGCACACACACGTGACACGCACTAGTCAACATCATATATATATATATATATATCTTGTACCACATAATGTTTAATCTGAAGCTACATATTAAGCATATTCAGGGCAGAGTATTGTTCCTGTTAGTGTTTAGTGTGAGATGATATTATATATTATTATATATTATAAATATTCCCTTTCTTTCTCCAACAACTTTACCTGATAGTAAGCTAACTTTAGGCAAACCAGCAGCACAACAAATATTTTCAAATAAGACTCACAAACCTGAGTCAACACCAGTCTCATCAGGGCTGGGGTTCTGTCGTTGTACTTTTGGTCTAAAAAAAGTCCTTATGTCCACCTTCACTCATGCGTTTCAAACAGAGATTGTAGAAGAAGCCAGCTGCTGAAGGGCTTCTCTTCAGTGGTGGAGGCTCAGGCAGGTTGTATACTGACTGAGTGGCCTAGTGGTAGAGTGTCCGCCCTGAGATTGGGAGATCAGGGGTTCGACTCCTGGTCGGGTCATACCAAAGACTTTGAGAAAAATAGGACCCAATGCCTCCCTGCTAGACACTCAGCATTAAGGGGTTCGATTGGGGGGTTAAACCACCAAATAGTTCCCGAGCTATTTTGACCCAGGGGATGGGTCAAATGCGGAGAATAAATTTGTGTGTGTGTGACGACTAAATGGGACTTTACAAACTACTGCCAGCTGCGCTCTCTCTGTTGGACTTTGGTACTGCATGTTACTTCCGCGATTTAGATCCGGGGCTTATCATGAAAGATCCGGGGCTTCAGCCCAAGTAGCCGGGCCTAACGCCGCCCCTGGTGGTTGGTAAATCTGCCATCTTTTCATTCGACCATAAACCAAAACATCCGAAGTATAAAACTATGCCCACGTCATCTTTAACGCCAGTTCAAAGCGTTCTAGAGAGGTTGACAAATCCATAACTTTCCTCTTCAGCCAAAAGAACCAGCGACAAGCTGGATAAAATCTGTTGCTGTTCCACCTGCTGCAGCGGTTCCTTTCAGAATAAAAGCTGAACCATCACGACCCAGGTTTGGGTCTCGCTAGATGCCAACAAACTGTAGTGACCTGGAAGTATCTCAAGACTGGTGGTTGGCTGCCGCAGCTGTTCCTACAGGCTTCGACTCCATAAAGGTCAAGATGGACCTCGACATTCCTGATCTAACGGGGACTTCTGCTAAGGGTACGTAGGCCGACAAGAATGGCGTTGAATGTGTTTATGAATCTCCTAACCAAAGCTTAACGTGAAGACATCACCTTCACGTCCCATCAGAACTAATCGTTTCTTCGGATTTGCTGGTTCTGAGCAACATTCCACACTACACCATTCTCTGTCTCATCCACCTTAGTAACACCATACACTTAGTGTTAAAGTTAGTCTAGTTTAATTTTTTTAGTAATAAATCTTTAAACTTTTAAAACCTGACTCTCTCTTCTGTTGTCTCTCAGTCAATACGAAGTGTTACATAATCCCTGCAATTAAAAGTTCCAATCATCTGGTTAACCAGTACCCTCAGATCTAAGGTGGATTTCATAGTTATTATGGAATCTTATATCTTATGGCTTATTAAATAACATGTAAATTAATTCATTACATGCTATTGCTCCTGTTTCATGAAATGTAACTTTTAAGTCTGCAGCCTTAGTGGACATTTTAAATTTAAAATGTATCATTTTAAATTTAAAATTATACATTTTAAATTTAAAATGTATCATTTTAAAAGTGCTTTCAATTGATTCATTGTGTTTTGTGTTACGCTTTTATCAGTTTTTGTTTGCTTGTTATCATGTACACTGTGACCGCTGTCTTAAAATGTGCACAATACATAAAGGTTTACTTACTTATTTATTACCATGTTTGATATTGTATAGTAACATGTATTTCGGTATCTGTCTAGATGCACCCTAACAGCTGCTAGAGCAGGTTCTTCTGGTGAAACATCCACACCAGCACCACCCTTAAAGAGATACTTTTCATATTTTTAAATCATTTTCTTGAGCCAGTTTGAGCTAAAATGACGCAGGGTTAAGGGTTAATTAAATGCCACCTAGCCCCTGTCACCCCCTGTGGCCAGAATATTTACTTGCAGCTAGGGATGCACCCAGGGACGAAATTTTGATTTCAGAAGTGGGGGGGACACAGCAGGCTTGTGCGGATTTGGGGTGGGGGGTGTTATGTAAAGACCCCTTGACACGTCACGTGCCCATCTCAATAATTTTTCCATCCTTATTGAAGTGCAGTTTTGGCTGTTGACAATGGATAGGCCATTGTATTTATTGTTTTGGGTCTTTTTTATTGTTTTTGGTGCAACATTTTCTAACAGGGAGTGAGATTCCTTTTTTATTTAATTTTTGTTTGTTATTTTTATTCATTTAGAAGTTCTGGTTCTGGACATTTCAATGTTAAATGAAGGTTTCTTTGTTGCATTTTAAAGGGGGTACTTGCATTATTATGATATATTAACATTATATTAGTGGTTATTTTGGTCTAGATAATGTTGACAATGATATCGTTTATCATCAACAATTTGTTGGACAAAATATCGTCCAGCAAAATTTGTTACTTTCCCAGGCCTAGTCAAAAGTATAAAAATTATTTATACATAAACGGTCCCTTCTGAGATCTGGCGGTTTGTTCATTTGCTGTGTTAGAGGACATGCTGAACTAATGTTTTACACATGATCATCACCCTAACATTTGAGTGTATAAAAACATATTAAATATGTTTTTCCCCTTAAAAGTGTTTAAACAGTTGTTGCATTTCAACACACACACAAAAAAAAGGAAAAAATAAGATAAATCTAATGAAAAGTGTACATCTTTGACATTAAGCTTAAAAAAATCTGTTGACGACGATGATACTGTTCATTTTTCAGAGCTTTTTAATGTGAAAATATGCATTGCAATAGATAAGTTTACAATAAAGTTAAATGATAAAAGTTTTGAAGTTACACTTCTACTACTACTACTACTAGTAATAATAATTATGATGATAATAGTAATAATAAAAAAATAATAATTATAATAATACGAATAAATTGTGTCTGAGGAGTCAGTTATGTGGAGGAGATGAGTTTGTAAAAGTTAGTTTTGAGTATGTGTGTGAAGGAGGAGGTGAGTCTGAGCTTAATGCAGGTCTGTCACATGTTCCAACTTACGTTTTGACTTTGAAAGAAGTCTCTTATATCCACTTTTCGTTTTCTTGACATGCTGCCTCCTGGCTGTGCCTAACTACCAAAGACTCACAAATGAACACTTATTCAAATGTTATGTAATGGAAGCTGAGCTGAGCTGATATTACACAGCGTCTAGTTGACGATGTGACTCAGTACCGGTGTTCCCTAGCGGCTCCAAACTAGCAAAACAACGTGAGCACGTTCTGACTGTTTACAACTTGAGTGACAGCAGAAACAGCCAATAATACGTTAGCAAGTATCAGCAGAGCCAATAGATTAGCTTTTGGGAGGGTCTAATAGTAAACCGGTTTCCGTTTCGGTCCTAGTGCTCAACCAAATCCATTTAATGGAGCGTAACATTGTTTTTGGACGGAAAAAAGTGCAGGGGACCAAAACTGTCTTTTGAAAAAGTGGGGGGGACATGTCCCACCCGTCCCCCCCCAAAATTACGTCCCAGGATGCACCGATGGATCGGCATTTGATCTCAATCGGCCGAAAGCGCCCCTATCGGTTTTGATCGGAGTTTTCAAAATAGATCAAAGAAGACCGATCAGGTAGGGTTGTCACGGTAACCGGTGTAGCGGTAAACCCCGGTAAAAAAGTTGACAATAATAATAACCGTCTTGTTTTAAAAAAAAAACTATATTATCTTGGTGGGTTTACCGTGGCTGCGATGTAGGCGCGGTGACCCTTACCAGCCACCGTATCATCTGCTGAAGTTGCCGGCGGCACATGCGCGCTTTGTTGTTTACAATCAAAACTTTCTTGAAGCTAAAGCTGAAATAACGGCCAAAGGACGAGACGGCAGCGCTCAGGAGGACATTTATTATCCCTCACAGAAGACAAAGTGGGAAGTACGGGCATATTTTGGATATTTGAAGAATGCCGAGGGACAGTTGATAGAAGACGGCTGTCCTGTTTGCAGCACGTGCAGAAAAAGTGTCTGTGAAAGGCAGCAACGCTTCAATCTCATGACACATCTGCGTGACCATCACCCACAACTCTACAGTCAACGCAAGGCAAGCTAACGTTAGCGTTTTAGCTAAAATGCGTGATCCGAGGATTTGGGTTGAGGGAGAACGCAACGAGTCGCTATATAAAGCAGCCGCAGCGCCGCTACCTGCATATAAACCGTGTCGCGGACACCCCCATGTTGAAATGACGCTATGCATTACGGGGCTCCCAGGG